CTTCTGCACAGGATATCACGGAGCTGCCGCCCATGTCCAGGGGCGACCGATCGGCATTCTCCAGCATGGAGGGCACGGCGTTGGAGTTGGAGGAAAGCCAGGCGAAACTGCGAAAACAAGTGTACCTCGACGCGGAAAAGATGCTGGCCTGTGCGCGCCGCGTCGGATCCGCCAACGAGTACTCGCAACTGCAAAACATGAACTTCCAGGCGTTAGCGCGCGCGGCGCTGGAAGCCTTTGGCGACATCGAGGACCCGCTGCCCGGAGAAGTTGCAGTGGCGGAAAAGAAAGCGAAAGTTGCTGCTGAGGAGGAGCAACAAGAAGCGGCTCTGATGAGAAGGGCTGAAAGCAAGAAAACTGTTCTGCAAGAAGATGAGGCTCCTTCAAGCATGTCCACTACAGCTAGAACTTTCGGTTTCGACACGGACGAGGCGCGGCGTAAATTTGACGCTGCGGAAGGTGACGAATCGAAGAAGGTTGCTGCGTTGCCGACGTTTTCGCTTCTACAAACAACACAGGGTCGCGATGAACGCAGCTTTGAACGACAGGATCCCTTCACACCGACCACAGCCCCTGCTGGAGAAAAAAGTCTGGGGAAGGGGACGACGAAGGTTGGCGACCTTCTGCGGACGATTGACAAGTTTCAGACCAAACTGATGGAGCACCAGAAGCAGGTGGCCACGTGGGTCGCGCGGGGCGTTGCGGCCGCGTGCAACACGCCGTTAGACCCGGCGAATTTGCCCGCAGTCTTCATGCAGATGCGGCAGGACGCGGACATTGCCTCGTCTCTGGTCCCGATCAACGCGCCGAAAAACGAAGTCGGAACTCCTGCCCAGACCCAGATGACGCCGCTTGGTGCGATTGGAACAGCACCGACGCTGGCGCGCACGAAGGAATGGAAGGAGGCCGCGGCGCGCGTGATCGCGGAACAGGAGGCGGCGGCCAATGTCATTGTGAAAGCGCCGCTAGAGATGCCCTTGTGGAGACAGCTGGAGACTTCGCCGTGGAATCTGTTCGTCCCGGTCTACGGCGCGCTGTGCACCTGCCCGGACAGCCAGACCTACTGGATCCGTGCGGTTCAGGATTTGAAGAACTGTTCCGAGCCGACTTATTTCACGGAAAACTGCGTGAACGGGGTCATCACCACGGAATGCGACAACGACAAGCCCAAGCGCATTCCGGAGGTGATGCGGGCGGCGAACACGGTGGTGGAGGGCGTCACGTGCGGATCTTCCATTCTGTACGCCACGGCGCAGAGCGTCAAGGACCTCCCCCAGGCAGCGAACAGCGTTTACGGGGTGATTGGCGTGCGTTCTCCGATGCTGCTGAACCACTACCGGGTGAACTCGTTGCCGGTGTCCGGCGATCTCGTCCCCCCCGGGCATTTGCTCTCCTTTTACCCCATGGCGAACCGGTACGGCGGGTTCTGCCGCTGCCCCTCCGGGCACGAGTACGCGGTGTCGTCGCCCGACGGCTGCTTGACGCTGAACTGCAAAAACGGGATCATGAAGTCCTGCAACCTGTTATCAAAGTGAAAAATCCCCCCTCCCCATATCAAAACGGAGATCTGTAATGCAGATTTGCAGTCACAAATCAGCTTCGTCATGCTAGAAGGGAAAAGATGCGGACTGTGGTGCTGGGTTGCGTGGGGAAGCCTTGCATCTTCAGCATGACAGGAAACAACTGGAAGTGGGAAACAGCATGACAAATCGCCTGCAAACGAGGCCACAACTGCGGCTCTTGGCCTTCTAGCATTACAAGTCGATTTGTGTACTCAAATACAGCATCACAAATTTCGTTTTCGATATGGGGAGGGGGGATTTTTCCATTTGATACCTGTGGGAGGACCCGCTGTGGGTGGGAAAATCGGTTGACTGCGCGGACTATGGATTGCAAATTTGTCTGGGTCTGGAAGATTGCAACTTGTCATGCTGTTTTTGGACTCTAAAAAAATTTGTATTGCATGACCAGCAAGAGGGGTACATTTTTTGCTACACGGGCCGGGCATTTCTGACGTGGAAGGTACGTCAGGAAGCAGTCTAAAAGCCTGTGATGCTAGGTCAAGCATTACAGGCGTCATTGGTCATGAGAGATATGCATGACAAATCTTGAATTCTTCGAGACCCAGACATTTTTGCATTTGATACGGACGGGTCGACGCAGGCGTCGCTGCGGGCGAAGATGGAGCGGGAAGAATTGGACAGAAGGAGAGACTGCAAGGCCAGGAAGAAGAAAATCGACGAGGGCGAAGTGATGCCGAAGCAAGACAAGTCCTTCGAGCAGGACTGCACCATGGCAGAGTACCTGAAGGAGCAGGAGCAAGCGGCCAGCGGGCAGGTGCAGATTCGGCCGGAGTTTGACAGCGAATCTTCGGTGGTGAACAGTGAAGACGGACAGCGGTCTAGCTTCAGCTTCGATCTACTACCATTGGAATGTCAGAAGGACTACGTGTGCGACGCCGCGAACAGTCCGGTGGTGCAGGCAGCGGACGGGCAGGCGAAGGTGAACGCGTGTCAGCGAGAAGTGCTAGAAGCGCGGAAAACCGCCTTCGCGGAGGAGGACCCGACGGCGGGCGGCAGTGACGAAGAGGACGAGGATATCATGAGAAAAAAGTGTTACAGTTGCACATTGTGTTGCAAGACCGGCAACACAGACAACCTTTCTCATGCAGGAAATGCTTGGGAGCCTCGTTTCCTTCCTGTTTTCCCTATATGATCTTCGCATTACAAGTTTTCTCTGCCACACAGAGAAAATTTGTGATGCAGAAACTCCAATAAAAAATGTGTAACTGTATACACTTTTTTCTCGTGATAGAGGACGCAGTGAAAAACAAGCCACAACCCACCGTCTCGAACGGGAAAACTGGCACCACGAAGAACGGGCTGACCCGCGCCATGCAGAAGATCCGTTCTTTCACAGAAACCGCCACCTGTCCACGGAGCTGCGGAATGTGTCCCTACCAATGCTCAGAAGACAAGATCCCGCTGTACCGCACCCAGGGGTGCCGCAACGGCGACAACACGCGAACGTGCTTGCTCGAGGACGGCCCGGAATGCTGCGGCGTCGCGCCCGCGGGCTACGATCCGGACACCTTCTTGGAGACCCGGCAGTGCGTTCCTTGCGACGAGACCAGCCTGGGCCGACCGTTCGAGATTGTGCCGGGTGAAATGATATGCATTGCAAAAGAGCATCGTACCAGTACTATTTCCAGTATGAAATAAAGATTGCATATACGATATATGATTTTTTTCAGTTTATTGACAACTCTCAGTTCGCCCTGCTACTGTGCTCGATTCAAACTTCCCTTTGGGATTTTACTTTCTATATATTTATTGATAACGATAAGCAAAAGTGGTGTAGTTTGTCCCGCCGAGTTACCTTCCCAAAGACATTGATTTGTCATTGATGTTGACTCCAATTACTACGAGAACGAGTGCGATACAGCTTTTGCAAAGGATAGATGGCCACGATAAACACGCCGTACGCCGGGCTGCAGCCGGTGCCGAAGTACGCACCGAGCGGAAACTACGCGATCTCGTACGACCAGGACGGTTTTCGGAAGTACTGCAAGCACTATTCCGCCAAGTTCACCGTGGCCGCACAGGCGACCAATGTGACGTTCCGCAGCTTCGGGGACGTGTACAAGCTAGAAACTACGATGAAGCAGGGGGGACCGACGTTCAAAAGCAACATCATTGCGGGGCAGAAGGAGGAGCTCAGCATGAAGGTCGGCAAAGACGTCCCCAAATACACCACGAGGACCTTCGGACACCTCACCTTTGACGTGAAAAACGACGAAAATTGAGGACGACAATTATGGGTCTTCGGAGGCGGCGCGTGGGACGGGATCTTCAAAACAGCAAGTCATCACAAACATAGTTAGACATTTGTCATATTGATGCTCAGTAGAAGACAACTCCGCTCAGAGGTTGCTTGACTTTGTGGTCCGTTAGTACTGTAGAATTCAAAAGGGGGCTTGTTTTTCAAAAAACGAAGCAGGTTAGTAGTAGGTGTGCATCCACTTCCACCAGGTAAACAATTTGACCATATCCATAAGAGGACATGCAAATCTAAAGATCATAATCGTTTACATGATATGAGATAATATAACCTAAAACCTAATGATAACATCGGCAATTGTTCTACGTAGTAGAAGGTAGTAAATTGAACGAGGATTTTATGCCTACGTATATCAATTCAAATTTTTAAGCGTTTTGGTTTTTTGAATGTGAGAAGCCATCCCGATATCCGTTTTTTCAAAACTTCCAAGAAAAAAGTGGAAAACGGAGGCGGCTGCGAAGTAGTCGCGTAGTTTTTTACAAATGAATTGTGGAAATTTTGTAGCCGACAAAAATAACCTCGATTACGTATCGTTGCATTTTTGGGTTTCAACTTCAAGATGTCGAACTCTTTTATCAATACAGACGAGCACGAAACATGATCGGCATGAGCAGCGCACTCGTCCGACGTGCCACCGCGCATCGAAGCTTATGCGCCATAGATGAACATGACAAACAACAAATACAAAAAAGGTATGTAGAAAAAATGATATTGTGACGTTTCCGTTTCGATCTGGAGAATTTTGAACCATGATTGGCATGTTGTAAATGTATTTGTACTAATATTATTCAAGAACAGAAAATCTAAATCACTCAAGAATTGTACTGTCGCATCAACAGTACTTACAATTCATTCTCAATTCTCCGCAGAGACCACTCTGTGCGAGTTCGGCCGTGAGGTGCACTTTTGTTGTGTAGTAATTTTCGTGCGAATGTATTTCGTTTTGTGGGTCTGAAGGACAGTTGGGCTTCTCGTGAACTTGAAATTCGTGAGGTGTTGCCTAAAGCACAGAACAAAGAGCGCCTTCGTGAGGGATTGAGAGCTCGTATAGAGAGTGTGCGAAGCTAGAAGGGCAAGAGCCGAGCGATGGCGCATGCTTTAAAGCCGATTTCGACGAATCGCTTCCAACTTTCATGTAATGCCAGAAGGACCTAACGGCGCGCAAGAATATTCTTGCGTGAGTTCTCACAAGTAGGAGGTGGGTACAACTTTAACTTAAGTATTTGATAGCTCTTGTACCACCAGATACGTTTATGTATATGTTTACGTTCGAAGAACGACGTCAGCTTCATCACAACCAGCACAAATTACGTCCATCCGGCTCCTTCTCGCCAACAAGGGAAAATCGGAACAGAGACTGCAAACCAAACTGGTACGACGGTTGCTCGTGTTGAAGAGCACAACCTATCGGCACTGACGAAGGAGTAGATCCGAGGACCAGGTGAGGAACGAAGTAGAAGTCCGGAGCAAGACCTGTTGGGTCGTCATCCCCCTGCCTTTAATCAGCGATGTGTCGACGAGAATGTGGATGAGAAAAAAGTGTGCGTTGATGCACAGCAGCGCCAGGCTGTGGTGCGGAATTCTCCTGTTATTCGCATCTACCCGCAGCTATGCCGTGGAGCGGCGCATGTATTGTTTTATTTTTTTGTGATTGTGATGCTGTAGCTGTAAATATTCTGTATAGCCATATCTTCTAGTCGCTGTCGGACATGTCTGCACATGCGTAAACATCGAACGACACAGCGGATTTTTCTATATGCAAGCGCAATATCAAAACAGAAAACGGGGGAACCTCCGGGGAGCGGGTAGGAACAACCGGCAGATACCAGCAGACGATGAGCCTGCTGCTGCTCTTACTGGTACTACAAAAACCTCCGGCGACACGACCAGTAGCTCCAGCTCCTTCAGTGCGGCTTCCGCAGGAGTGACGAGCCGGCTCAACCAACTACGAAACAGCATATTCGGCGGAAGCACAAGTTCTTCTAGTGGAAATACGGACGGGATAGAGGCCCAACACGAGGAAGGTGTCGCAGGAACAACAAATCCGACCTTGTTACCCGCGACTTCAGCAGGAGATGAATCCAGTAATCTACCCAGCAGCCGTGCTACGGGCGAAGAAATGGTGTCGTCCACACGACCAGGCGGGACGACCTCCGCAAGCAGTAGTTCTTTTCTCCAAGTCGAGAATGACGTCGGTAGTAACTCCCCGAGTTCGTTTCTGGAAGTGAAAAAAGTGAAGGTGAAGAAGAAGAAACGGCGCCGAACAGCTGGTGGTGTCGTTGCCTCGTCTCGTAGTGGTCCAGGAGGGGACGACGAGCAAATTTTACCAGGCGAAGGTGAAGAGCGAGGGGAAACTACACAGGATGCAAAACCCGACGCGACTTCTAGTGCTGGTGCTGCAGACGCAATGAAAGAAGACGCAACAACTGACACTGCTGAGAGCAGCAGTGCGGGCTCCAAGAAGGGAGTAAGCGAAGATGTCGACTTTGTCGTCGACGACAGAGAAGATGCTGAGGAGCAGAAGGGGAAAACATCGATAATCTCCGGAACGTCAACATCCTTTTCAAAGCCTGCTTCCGCATTGCAAGTGAGTGCAACTACTAGTACTGCAACTGCGGAGAGAACTTTGGCGGATCTTCACGCATCAAAACACGCACCTGCTCGTGGCACAGCTGGCAGACTGGGACTGGACCAAGCGGAAAGCAGAACCTTCGGGGAAGAAGAACTAGAAAATGAAGACGGTTCTTCCGATTTAGAGAATGAAGGAGTCGACGACGAGCTACTGTCTGAAGAGGATGAGGATGAAGAAGACCTTCAGAGTGAGGGCGAAATGAGTGCGCGAAGAACTTCAAGCAGAAGTAGCACGACTGCACGGGGGAGCAACAGTGGACGAGACTCGTCAACATCGAGTGTCGGCGCAGGCAGTACATTTCCCGCAGCGTCGTCCTTCGCGAGTCTCCCCAACGTGCCCGCGATTTCGGCGTTGCTGCAGCTCGGAGAAGCTTTGGCCAGCGTCTTCCCGGCCAGGAGTGTGAACGAGCGGGGGCGAGACAAGACTGACCACGTTGATGCAGCTTCTTCACCTCCTACTCCATCTCGTCGTTCTGGGCCGCTGCAGATTTTACACGCCCAGCACAGCAAGAAGAATAACAGTAATCTTCCCAACAACAAACGGATGCGAAGTCCTTCATCAGCTTCTTCGAGTGAGACGGCTACAGAAGACGAGCTCCTGCAGCAGGAAGAAAATGAAGAAAAAGACGAGGATGTGGTCCAGCCCCCGGTGAACGCTTTCACCGAACTGGGGACGACTTTTGGGCACGGCCAAGGCCAACTCGGAAGGGAAGAAGAAATACAGGAGAATCACGTGTCTGGTCCCTCCAAAAGAAGCCGCCTAAAACGCCGCGATGAAAGTGTGATGGGCAACGCCGCGAAAGACGAGATACTCGCAGTCGAGCAAGCGGCTACGCGACGTAAGTTGGCCCAAGGTGCTAGTGGAATCAGCAGCGCGCGAGAGGAGGAACTGCAGAAAAAACGACGAGCAGCGCGTCGTAAACGGCAACAGAGAAGAAAAAAGCGCGCCAAGGAACAGCTGGCGAAACGACAGAAAGAGCAGGAGGAGGCATCGAAAGTCCTTAAAGCGGAGCAGGCAAAGGCGGAGCGGGAGCATATCAAAATGTTAAAAAATAATCCCCCTGCCTCATACTCAAAGTGCCACCTCTGTACCCCTCATTTGTTTACACAAGTACTCGAGTTTCCATGATGCTAGAAGGTGGGAACAAGAGATGCGGACTGGCACGGGAAAGCGTTGCGTCCCCGGTATCTATGACAGGAACCAGCTCCTTGCCTAGAATAGCGTAGCAAATTACCTGCCAGCCAGACTAGAAATGTATGTCTCACTTTGCAGCTTTCTGGCAACACTTACACTACTCAACATGTGCGCACACTCAAAAAAAAATCAGGCATCGCATGGAGTCTTCTTTTGAAAAATATGCGGGGGGATAATTTTTCCCCACAAGAATAGAGCAGGGCGGCGAGGGCGAGGAAGAGGGTGCAGCGGGAGACGGGGAGGAGGAACCAGCTGAAGTAGAGGAAGCCGAACCTTCGCCAGCAGAGAAACCAGCGAAAACAAAAAGTGGGCCTGCGCCTACGACGGAGGGGGCGGACGAGGAGGAGGAGCAACCGCCGGCAGCAAAGTCGTATGGAACGGAAGTGAGTGATCTTCGGGACGGCTGCTGCTAGCCTGTTTGAGGAAAAGTTCATTGGTATCATCCGAGTGTACCATGATGATGTGGAGCGTTTGTCATGCAAAAAGCACACCAAGCAGAAGGTAAAAGAATAGAAACATACACATAACGATATCGCAAGCGCGCAAATGCAAGTCCATGCTGCTGCTCTGGAGTGGTTGTATGTACGTCGCGTTTTGCATCACAAAACGACGCCACGCGGAGGCAAATCCGCCTTAAGAAGATGGAGCTGATTGTGAGGGGGCTAGTAGCAGACGACCCGAGAGTCACTAACTTTAATTTCGGTCTATAAGCCAAAGCCCAAACCAAAAGCAGAACCAGAAGAAGAAGACGGGGCGGAATAAAAAGAATGACTACAGGAAGATCTTCACTACTTACAATCAGAACGCGTAAATCTACCGAATAAACCAATATTGAAATCAACGGAGTTAAATTTACTTACACTACTAACTTGTCGCAATTTACAGACTCACCGAAAAACAACCATTATTTAAATTTTTCTGTACTTTTACTTACCGCACAGCTTTTCGTTCTTACTTTTACACTTAACAGTTTCTGTTCCGAGCCGTCAGGCAAAATATCGTTACTTTTCAATCAGTTATGTAACAGCACCAATCTCGTCGTCGTCCCGTTGACAGCCACAATAAATGTATCGAACCTAGACCAGGATATCGCGCTTGAAAAACCCTACTGAGTGCTGTACATATGTGAGTATGAAGATAAAATAGAAAAAAAGCCCGGAGCAAAAGTATGTACAATAGTGGCTTCGCATTCGGACTCGGTGCTTCAGGTGCAAGAAGTGGAGTCCAAATATGAAATCGACGACGATCTTCACAGGCTGTAATAGTAATGCCGGATGCCCTCTTCCCCTTGTCCTTCTCCTTTCGGTGGCGCTTTACTTCTGATGAAGAATGACGTAATTGATTTCATCTGTAGAAGTTGCCGAGTAGGATGTAATAAAGAAGATTTCGTTTTCACTGTAGAAATTTTGATGTATACAGATATGTTGTAACAGTGAGTATGGGCTTCCTCAGCTTAATCATAGAGAAGGGATTAGCAAGGGAAGTAGACCTGTACAACTAGAACTGAAGATGAAAGTTCTTATGCTTTTCATACTTCGCAGCGGAAATAAAAGAAAAAGCCTTTTACTTTTCCCATACTTCCTGCTGGGACAGACAAAGGCGACGCCGGAATACCGTCGATACGCACGCCATTAAGCCCGGTGAAATTGTTCGAAGAGGATTTACTAGAAACGGGTTAAAAATTTAGCGTAAATCTAGTGCCTGCTCGTCAATCACGAAGAATAGAACAACAAACACGACGCAGAAGCAGATTTGGTTCGAAGAGAAAGAGTGACTCCGGAGCGCGCGGTTTGTAAAAAGTGTGAGAGTCGTCGGATTTATCTGGCTCAAATAGTACAAGTGGGTCGCGCGATCATTTGCGGTCGTGTGGTAGCAGTGCATATAAAAATTTTGCGTCGAATCCGCGGAGCGTACGCATTGCGATGGGTATTTTTCGTGAGCGGATGCGGTTTGTAGTTCTTACTCTTAGTCTTAAAGGAAATTTTTCGTAGAGCATGAAAAGTCGCATTATGGAAAAATCACAATTACTCGAACCTCAATCTCATCGTATCGTACCATTTTCTGTTTCAACAATCAGACGTAGTAGCATCCGATCACTTGTTGCAGCGCCAGGCACGTGTTCGCAGTAGCAAAGTGCGTTAGCATAGCAGGCATTCCTTCGGAACTTCCACTCGAAGAGCGGAGAGCCATGAAGGAAAGTAGAAAGCACAGCCGGAGCGCAATGGCCGGAGCCATCTTGCGGTCCCGTGTGGCGCTTCCGGTCACCATCTTTGTGGTGGCGAACTTTGGCGGAAATGGAATTCACGCCCGGCGGGGTGGAATGTTGCGTTCCGAGAAGCACAGAATGCGCGACCTCGCTGCAGAGAATGGCGGAGTAGCACCCCCGTGTATCAAATGCAAATATGCCTGGATCTGGTGGATTGCTGCAGAAGTATGTCATGCACGAGGTGTGGTGTCGCATGACCATGAGATAGAGTTTGCTGGTTGCGCACTGTAGCATCAAAAGTTTTGCGAAGGCTCTTCAAAACTGCCTATGTATTCGGCATGAGAAAAAGGCCGTCTTCATGTCGTTTTCGAGCCGTGCTTTCGCAACGATTGTTCGAATACAGATTTTTGTGTGGTCTAGACCTAGCATCGCAAATTCGGAGGATCTCCCAGGCCCAGACATATTTGCTTCTGATATTGTGGGAACCCGCGCCCAATACACTTTTCGGTATGTACAACATGTACATTGCCCCATAATCAAGAAAAATCATCATCGCAATCACCTTTGTGCATCTGCGGAAAATAAAAAGTAAATCCTGTGCACCTGATCGACTATTCTGTCATGTGTGTCGTGCGAAAAAGTAAATGCATAATACTACAAAAATTTATTTCTTCACATCAAGCTCAAAACTTGCAAATTCTTGACTGCGATGTTGTCTTTTTGTACCATACGCGGCTTCTGTGGACGACCTCGACAGCGGCCGTCGAGAAGGACGGGCCAACGACTGGCGCCGTGGAGGGAAAGAATGTGGGTGATGGAGATGAAACCGCGAGCGCGCCGCTGTCCTTCATCGAGATGAAAGGGACGGAAAATGAGAAAACACCGGCGTCAGGTATTCTAACAACAAGGTAACAAGGAGCCTAGACGTGACCGGGGGGGTCACGTCCGTCCGGCCGGCCGGACGGACGGCACGTGACCGGGGGTCGGTCGTGGCGCTAGGAGGTGGTGGCCACTGTGGACCGCGCGCCCGGGCAACTAAAAAAAAAAGGGTCATGAGCTCGGCACTTTACTGAAGAACTGCTTCCCTTCGTCACGCTCCGCCCCCGGTCACGAGGCCGGGGGCTGTCAGCTAGCTCGGGCGCCCAACTAAAAAAAAAAGGTCATGAGTTCGGTCTTTCACGGAAAAAGGCACGACTCCTGTGCCTGGTCCGCCGTCGGTGACGCGGCCGGGGGCTTCTAGCTACCGAGGGCCACAGTTGCTGCGGCATTCAGCGCCGAACTCGCCCCGAGGCCGGATCACCCCCGGTCACGTGCCGTCCGTCCGGCCGGACGGACGTGACCCCCCCGGTCAGGTCTACGTTCCTTGTTACCCTGTTCTAATACACTTAGGAAAATCATATATGTTTTAGCGGAACGTCGAATATTGACCGCGCCTGTTCGTAGCACCCGTTTCTTTTTGCTGTTTGAACTTGAAAGAAGTCATGACCGAAACATTCTATGGTAATCCTATTGCAGCTGAAAACTTAATCGCAGGTGCAGCACACACGCAGGAAGTGTTGAAGTCCACCGAACACAAGGGCTCTGGTTCTCCTTCTTTCCTCGAAACGGAGATGACCACGACTAGCGAAAGCGCCAGTACCGCCGAACCGCAAGCCGAATTAGACTCGGACACCGTCCAGCAGATGATGAAGAAGTCTCTGGATCAACTGAGCAAGGGAGGTAGAAGACATTCTTTGTTCATGAAGTTGTTGAACTTGTTTTACGAATCTGCAAAATGATTTCCATTCATCCCATTGCAATGGTTTTGGATTCGTGTATAGGAGAGAAGGTGAGCATGAAGTAGTACTGCGCCGTTAATTTTGTCCTGCAAAGAAACGGACCTAAAAAACAAAAAATCGCAGGGCGCAAAGTGGAGCCGAAGCCGACCGACGAGGACGGAGGTGTGAAGAAGCCGGAGGAGCTGGTGTCTCTGTCCACCGTGGCCAACTCCGCGAACTCGCAAACCTCGAACGGCGGGGAAGTGGATGCCACAAAAGCTGCGCAGATGGAAAGGACCTGGAAATCTGAATCCCAGGGGGAGGAAGGTACTTACGGATTTTTTTGTGGCGGAAATATAAGGATGTGCTAGGTGCTGAAGATTGATGGAACATGATGCCTGCTGCATGATAGAGAACACGCAAGAACAAATACGACGCATTGATGGAACATGATGCCTGCTGCATGATAGAGAACACGCAAGAAGAAATACGACGCTCACGGGTGGTAGAAGTGAAAAATACTCGCGAGCAGAAGAATGAGTTTCATTTTCACTCAAATTTACAGGTGAGAAAGGACCACGAGAAGCTGGGCAGACCACAGGAAAAGTCGCATTGAAGGAAGAAGGCTCGTCCCTGTCCCCTGCCGCGTCCAAGGTCAAGCCGCAAATGGTCGTGATCGACGAGAATGATCTCGCCGCGGTGACAACCGCCGCAAAACCGGATCTGGTTACTTCCGTGGCCGGGGCAGCTGCGAAGAACGTCGCTACCCAGAAGGTCGCGAAGTTCACCTCTGCAGCAGACTCCGCAAAGCAACGGGATTCTACCAAAATCGCCACGGAGCCGGAAAAAACAACGGCCGCAACGATGACGACGCACTGGGTTTCATCCACTCCTACTACAACACCGAGCAACTACGACTTGGTGTTTCTTCCAGCACAGCTGCCTGCGGCTGTGGCGAAGAAGCAAGCGGAAGAAGGTAGTGCTGGTGGTCAAGGTGCAGGCGGGGCGGTTGCCTTCGTGGATTTGATGGAGCACAAGACGTTCGTGGATTTGACAGGATCATTCACTGCTGGGAATGTCGAAGCAGCTGCCCGTAGCTTCCCTCCGTCTGCTTCCTCCTGCGAGGAACATGTAGATGACGAGGAACAACTACACGAGCAGCGCTGTTTCACGCCGCCGCAAAATTCCTACGCGGCAAGCCGTTCGTCTGGCGAGGAGGACGGAACGAGCTCGAACGAAAGCAGCAGCGCTATGGGACTCTCAATTGTTACATTCTCAACTGTTACATGAATTTGTAATGCAAGACTGGCAAAAGTGAAAGGAGGAAGATTGCGCCTTTTGCATTACAAGTTTGGCGCAGATTTAGGCGCGGCTTAGCCCTTCGCAAACTTGTCACGCGGAGCAGCTTCTTGATCGTGAGGATGATGATGGTGTTTTTGCATGACAAATTCATGTAACAGTTGAGAATGTAACGTTTGAGAACCCCATAAGTGCCTCCACTACCACGGGTTTTGTGCAGCTCATCGATGCAGACACGAATTCTTCCTGTGCGAGTAGTGAGCGCTCGGTCACCTCCGAATCCGTGCGGGACCTGGAGAGCCCATTTGCACAGTCGTCCTCGTCTGGAGGTGGCTCCTCTAGCTCGTCCAGTAGCAGCGACGGCAGGGCGAAATCGTCGAGAAGCAAGTGCGCTGCGACGCTGCCGTGTTTGCCGCAGGACAGGGGGGCTCTGGCGGAAAACAGCACGACTAGTACCCAGGTGGACACTAAAATCCACCGCGCTTCTCGTAGTTCTAAGACGAAGAAAAGGAGCGGCCGGAAAAGCAAAAGCCAGAGCGGTGCGGCTTCTGTCGCAGTGGCTTCGAAACTGGATAATTTCGGGGCAAGCAAGACGCATGACGAAGACCGACCTGCCGTGAACGCTATGGAGGTACCCGGGAATGCCACTGTATCATCCGTCGATGTAGTTGCCACGGCCAGTACAACGGAAGACTTAAAGGCACGACCTTTTTCGGCCGCGACGAATGGATCGTCGTCCTCAGGAACCAACAAGATGGTGCGTCGAAGGTCAACAAATACCAGTGAAGATTCTTCGGGTACCGGTTACAGTGCCGCCTCGAGCAGACCGAGCGTCGGCCAGTCCTCCGATGGCCATGCTGCTACCTCGTCCAGCACCGGCAGTTCCGCTCGAGTCGTTGAGCGGAGCAGTAGCAACAGAAACAGCCGGGAGTCCACGTCAAATATTAACGAAGACCAACACCAGATAGACACGTTGCTGGAGGAAGAAGGAGCGGGCACGACAGACGGGCAGAGGGCATCTGGTGCAGAACCGTCGCGACAAAAGATCTTCATAACCCGGACCGGAAAGATGCTGCGCAGGAATCCTTCCCGGACCCCTCGCTACGCGGAGGACCAAGTGTTGTCGGGAGGAGGGGTTGAGCTTGATTTTCACTTTAGCACCCACAGTCAGCCCCGTAGCAGCGCGGATGTCGACATTCATGATGCGGACAAAGAGGAGAAGGCGGGGCGGTTGCGTTCGTGGATTTGATGGAGCACAAGACGTCGGCCCCAGCGCTGGAGAAGGGTGCGTCGACCGCGGGAGCCGGGGAAATGCAGCAGCCGAGCGGGCAGCAGCAGACGTTGTTGACCTCTGTGGACGACGAGAACGACAATGATTTCGGTTCGCTCGTTGGGCTTCCAAAGTCCTTTGCTTCATCGAGCGCTCAGTTGCGGACGACGTCCGGTCATCAGGCTGCGACACCCACTGCTGCCACAAGTACGGGGCCCGTGACGGACAAGTCGTCGGCTGCCGCGATGATCCCGGAAGCCCGACTAGTTACAGAGAAATCGGTTGCTGCGACGAGAAACCTCGATGCGGCTGCGAAAATCGTCGTGGATTTGCCGAAAAACGAACCTGCTGGTGGGGTGGCAGAGCAGCCTGGAAAGCCGAGCTTCACGCAGGAAAGCGAGAGTGACAGAAAGTCGGCTGACTTAGGCGCGAAGCTGGTGTTACAGACGCCCGGCAAGGACGACGCCGCATCCACAAACCCCGCTCGAACTGATGTCGACGATGAAACGCCGGCACCACCGGTAGCAGCCCTCGAGAAGATGAATTTTCTAGAACAACATGTTCGGTTACCAAGTGGAAAAACACAGGAAAGGGGAAAAATTCAAAATTTTTGTATGTTGCAAAGGCAGCCCCCTTCAGAAATCTAGTGGCACAGGGATGGCCGGGCCCACCGGTCCGATGGCCCGGCGCGATCTCCTATCGGCGGCGCTTCTGCCTGTTGAGTTCCAGCAAAGCGCAGCCATCCACTCTCCGCGAGATCGGCACATCGTCGCCAATATTTTTGCGCCCCAATTTTTGCTCGCCGCGTTCGTGCCGGAAGTGGGGCGCCCACTTTTCTGCCGAACACGAACCCGCCCGAGGCAACGCCGGCAAAATGGCTGAAAGGCCCCAAAGACCTGGCCGTCACGTTTATTTTTCTTTTCCGAATTGGCGCGAAGGGCCCGGGGGTTGGCGGGCCCTATTTGAGCCGGACCGGGGCCGCCCGACTTCGGCTGTTGTTGATCGCGGTGGACGACCCCACGTTTTTGCAGCTCTGTGGCCGGTCTCTGTTTGTATGTCCGAGAAGGGGCACACTTTTGGCGCGCAATTCCGGCGCAACAGCGTCGCGCCTGGCTTCTTTCAATGGGCTACGTTTGTTATAGCGCAAATCCACAGGAATGGACAGGGGGTGGGGTCTGGGAGAGGGGCCAAAACCTGGAAGTAGCGGTGGCTCGAAATGGGCCAAAAATCAAGGCACACAGGTGCGGTTACAAATCCACAGGAATGGGCGGGGGGGTACCCTTGGGGCCACCCCCCCCTCGGCAGGGGCCATCAAAAAGAGCCCAAAAGCGACGCCTTTTTTTGGCCACAAACCGGGACACATAGGTCGGGTTACAAATCCACAGGAATGCCCAGAAATGGGGGCAGCCCCGGACGCGACAATGGCGCGGCCGATTTGGGCCGAAAACCGGGGCAGATAGGTCGGATTTCAAATCCACAGGAATGGCCCCAAAAGTGGCCCGAAGCCACACGCCGTAGACTAGAAGGCAAAAACTGCCTTGGCCCCGACTGCCATTTTTGGCCACCCCAAGCGGTAGCGCCCGGGCCAGATTTTGCTCGTGTTGGGCATTGCCTGGGGCTTCGGGAAATGGCGCCGGCCCCCTGACCCGGAGCCCGGCGCCGCCTGGGGCCCGGCAGTGATGTTAAAACGAAGCGCGGGCGTTTTCAAATTGTAGACAGGCCCGGGGGCAGGCCTTCTGCGTATTGTGTCTTTTGATACGCCGCAAGCGGTTTTGTGGCGTTTGCGATTTCGCCGCAAATCACCAAAGCCATGCGCATGCGTTTGGTTCTCACCTCTTTCAAAAATGAGGCATGGCAAAATTTTGAATTTTTCCCCTTTCCTGTGTTTTTCCCCTTGGTATCGGTCGGAGGTCCCCGGGGCAGTCGAACACAGTTCCGGATCCCGAAGCACACGAAGAAGTCGAAGAGTCGCTAGAACAGCTAAAACTTCGACTAGAACAGCAGGGGATGCGAATCCTCTCCGAGTGCATTGAGACGGGGACCCGTGCGGGACAAGAAAACCGAGCAGGGGCGTTCATCGAGGCACTGAAAAACAAGATCGCCGTGCTTTCGGAGGGAGCAGCACAGGGCCAACCGGGCGGGACGGAAATGCGTGGGAGACGCACTGCTGTGCAGGCAGCTCTCAATCGGATGAGCGCCCCCGGGACCATCGCCAGTGTGCTGGGTGGGATTATCTTTAATTTCGAACATGCAATATCCGGAAGCGGGATTGTAGCCGCATGGAGCTCTGCTACGAAGCGGGAGATCGAGAAAAGTACGCCATTGATGCGTGCGATCGAGGGCGGACTTGCTGTTGCTGTCGCTGAAGAAGACACGACATCCGGGAGCGAGAACCAAGTGTTGCGGTTTTTCCAGACAGAGATACCCACACCGGATCAAGATGTGGCTCAGCCAGCACCGCTCATCGAACTGAAAAGAGCGGAAAACCAGAAGACCGGCGATATTGGTACAGCAAAATTGTCTTGTCTAGAAACATAAATGAGACACACTCATGCATTACGTGTCTTTTCTGCATGGAGGCTGACACACCAGAATGTGTATATTGTTGATATCATATATGAGCGCATTGCAGGTCCGGACTCAGAGATGCTCGTGTAAAAAAGGAGATCATGAATATACTAACGTAATGTCGTGGAAGAACTCAAGATGAAATTGAAACCTTCATCACAGGGACAGGCAGTGAATCGCAAGCGCTGAGTGCCGCCGAGGAGAAAGAATCTACTGTGTCGACTCTCGAGACCGAAACCAGCAAAAGCACCATAAACACGAAGCTGGCCAAAGTGTCGAAAACTGCGGAGACGAAGTTTTCAGATCAATCGGGCGACGGCGGTAAAGACTTTTGGCGCAGATTTGGTTCTGTCGATTGGCATTTGGACAGGCATGGAGCAACGAAATCGAGTGCTACAAATCTGAACTAAAAAATAAATTCCAGGCTCGGGGGAAGGAGCACCGGTCCGGACCCAAGATGCCGTGGCGACGAAGCGTGTTATGTAGTAACCGCGAACGCTTGTGTTGTTATGTTTGTAAAAAATATAAAAACATTTCGTTTACAACTGCTGTACCAACCCTAGTAACTCAAGCAAAACACATCCTTATATATATGATAAAGGAAAAGGCCAAGGCACAGCGCGCCACAGTGCTTGTGCCGGCGGACCTAAAGACAGCAGATGGGAGCGAGATAAAAACAGTGCCTTCCTTCAAGTATCTGGGCACAGAAATAGCAAGCAACGCCAGCGCCACCAAAGAAGTCGAAAGGCGGACGGGGATAGCAACAGCAACGACGCAGCAACTCCGAAAAATCTGGGCAGATAAAGGGCTCCCGCGGGAGCTGAAGGCGGAACTATACACCTCGTTGCGCAGCTCGGTAGCGCTGTACAATAGTGAGTGTTGGGTCCCGCACGAGCACGACCTCAAGGTCTTGCGTAACTTCCAGATGCAGACACTGAAAACAGTGACGGGGGAGCGAAGGGAGTGGCAGCGGCAGCAGGAAAGGCAGGAGGAGCAGAACGCAGAGGGGGGGCCGGTAGACGAGGAAGCAGAATACACCAGCCGCGTCGAGTTATGCAAAAGAGCAGGCATACTCGATATAGAGACGATGCTACAGGGGAAGCGGGTAGCATGGGTTGCCCATGCATTCCGCGACACAACAGAAGCCTCAGGGTGGTGGATAGCAAACGAGATAAAGGCGAAAACACCATGGGGCAGGCTGGTGGAGCAAGACCTGCAGCACTTTGGCTTCGATGCCGCACAGATGGCGCAGCAGCCGCCAGACGCAGCGGCAGTGAAGGAAGCAATGCGGCAAAAAAGAAAAGTGGACACGAGCAGAAGAAACGGGCCCAAGCAAACAAGGACAGCAACCGAGAAGACCGAGAAAATGCGCGAGGAGCAGCGCAAGAGAATACAGCAACAGCAACAAGCGGAAAGGGGGCGAGCGGAACTAATTCAAACGATCAGCGGCAAGAGCTGGGTGCGTTTACCCGGCCAAAGACGGGAAGTTTGGCGTCTAGAAGAAAGCGACCAGGTGGTGTTTGAAGCAGACAGCACGGATTTTTGCGAAAACACAGGAAGAGAAATAGTGTATGTCTGCGGGGTCTCCTTTTACAAAGGCCAAGATAACACTTGGCACGCAGAGTGAGTGACTCTCCTGTCACTCCGCACACAGCAGTACTGGGTGCCCGTCCACTCATTAGAATGAGAAAAGATAATGTTTATCCCGGACACGCACAAATATGATGATGATGATGATGATAAAGGTTTTCAATACTACAATTACAACTATTCCTATGTATTTTACCATAATTAATATACGACTATCCGCCCCCGCCCCCCGCACAAAAACAAATTCAAATACAACTAAAGCTAGGGCGCCCCAGTGCATGACAGACCGATATATTGTATAAAAAAATCATGTTTATCCCTTTGTACAGAAAAGTACCTTGCTTTGCTTGTATGATGACAATTATCAAGATAAGAAAGTTTTGCCTGACAAAAGGTTTCCATGGTGAGATCAACCTTCGTGGCCTGTCACGTGTCGTTGTTGGTGTTGCGCCTGTGCCTGGCAGGGAGCTACTATAGTCATGTCGTAGCCTGGCAGCGACGTCAACGAATGATACAAACCAGGACTAATACTAAAAAATGAAATCCATGCCGCAAACATGGAGCGCCGCTGCGGACCCAAGACGCTCTCGTGAAGAAGCAGGATGATGTTGTGTGACTGCGAACGCCTGCAAAAGACAAAATGTTTCACTTACGAACCCCAGATGAAGAATCATATTTCTTTAAATGAATTTTGGCTACAGCTATTGTATGTAGTGAGGGCGCGAACGTTCTATCCTGGCAGTTTTTTTGCCACCTACCAGCCGTGAAACACGACCGGCAGTTTTGAAGATGCCGGAGGTGTTTTCTCACAAAAAAAAATTTTAGTTGATAAAGTACTTAATTACAAATTGATATAGCGGGGCCTTGAAGCCAAATAGGCCCGACGGAATTCTATCGGTTGCCGCTTGATAAAACGACGCAAGGGAGCCGGCAGAAGGGGCGCCACGCTGAGGCGCCCACCGCCGTGGCTTCTGGCGGCTCGGGGCGCCCGAAAAGAAGCATCAGAAAAATGCCAAGGAGACAGAAACCGCGAATCCTTATGGTATTGGCGCCATTTCTTTGTGTTCGGTTTTGGAGGTCGCGAATGCTGCTAACAGATTCGGGCACTTCAGACGCGGGTGGAGGATCAAAAGCTGCGCGCCATTGACAAAAAAAAACACAAGAAACAACAGCCGCCAAAAGCTGGACGCTAGCCCGCATGCTACGGGCCCGATCTGGGACGCCCAAAGCGCCGGCCCTGGTGAGGTCACAGCATGTGGAGAAGGTTTTCCGCTCGGGATCCCAAATCGCTTGCAACTTTGGGCGGAGATTTTTTGCGGCCGCGGTGCCATAGTGCATAACATTAGGCATACAAGTTGCGTTTTTTTGACTTGCAGACAAAAGAACCGCTGCGACCTCACTACTTCCGTAGCCGCGACTATTATTGGCGCCATTACAGCTACCCCTAAAGCGAAAGCTAGAGCGCCCCAAGCGCCTGACCACAGATAAAGACGTACTGTAAAAATATGCGTATAAAAATAATATGTATCAACTAGAAGGTTTGTTGAATGTATGTACAGACAAGTAGCTTGCTTTGTATGTATGATAATGAAGTCCAAGATGAAGATTGATTGTCCAGCGAATGAAACTTTCGCCTGACAAAAGGCTTCCATGGAGAGATCACCTCCCATGGCCTGTCACATGTCGTTGCTGGTGTTGTGCCTGTGTGTGGCAGGGAATTCATTGCTCCTAAGTCATGTAGCTCATGCCGAGTGCTGAAGCATGCCAGTTACTCTTATTTCGATACCAGCCACCCCCCGGCGAAGGCCGCCGGGGAGGGGGCTGTTCGGTGGAGGTGTTCCGGTGGAGAAGGTGGCGCCAGCAATGAATCGCTGCGCGCCGCTACGCAACCAAAGAAAAAGAGCCCGGCCCATGTTTCGGCATGGGTTGGCACCCTGAGGGGCGCGCCTCTAGGGCGCTGCCTGTATTACTGACAGACAGCGCGGGGACGCGTCCCACACTTCCACCCCCTGCTGCATGCCCGGCCTTAGTAGCTGCGCGCCGTGGGAAAATGCGCACAGGAAACTATTTCCGGGCGCCAACGTTTAAGACGCCACAAGGGCGACGCACCTGCTGCCAGCGCGCGCGGGCGCTGTTGGAAAGAAGTTGCGGCCACCCTAGGTGGCCGACCAGGTTAAGGCGGGGCGCCGCGCCCCCTCTGGGGGACGCAGAGCGGCGCACGCACTTTGAACGGCCGCTCTGATCTGCAAGCGAAAACAATGCCAGCCGGTCGCTGCGCCCTAGCGAGCTTCTTTAGGGGGCGCCGCGCGCAGACAAGTGGGCAGGCTGTGCTCCTGGAGGTGGTCCGCGAGAGGGTCCGGGAGAGGGTCCGGGAGAAGGTCCGGGAGAGGTTCGGAGAGGGTCCCGGAGAGGGTCCGGGAGAGGGTCGGAGAGGTCCCGAGAGGGTCCGCGGAGAGGTAAAATAGAGGTTCCCGGAGAGGGTCGCGGTAGAGGGTCACATAGAGGGTCGTCCTATACTACGCACCCTCTCTGACCCTCTCGACCCTCTCCCCCTACCCTCTACTTAACCTCTGTCCACCCTCTACCTACCCTCTTCGGGCGTATAGCGCCGCTATACGGGCCGACATACTACCCACCCTCTCCCTACCCTCTCCTTTACCTCTCGTTTTACCTCTCCCCGACCCTCTATTTTTTCCCGACCCTCTCCTTTACCTCTCCCAACCTCTATTTTACCTCTACGCAACCTCTCTCCACCCTCTACCGGAACCTCTCCGGCCCCGTTTTCTTCCATATATAAATATTGTAATACGCATCTCTTTGTGCTGCGCAAGTTGAAGGTTTTTGGATCGTGACAAGGAGACGGAAACCATCAAAATTCCAGAGAGGGCAGGAATGTCAGAGAGGAACTGACAAAAACAGCTGACCGCTTTACGATATTTTCTATCTTTGTACCTCCTGTGATGTCCATTGCAACAAAATTTTGCGCATCATTCGTCCTTTTAGTGCTTTCGCTTTCGGGCATCCGCCTAGTGGTGATAGTTTTGGTTAGAAGTGCACGCTCTCTCCTTCAAAATTGTGGTTGAGTGCACGTACTCAAGTTCAACAAGACGTGACAAGCGTGATCAAAGTCAAAGACACGTGGATTCTTTCATTCGCATATCGAAAGTAGTACATATGCTCGCGTCACCTTTGCGCACGGTAAAAAGCCTCTATTGGCTCTCCCGTAGCTAAGTGAAGCTCCTAAAGTCTTCTGGCAAACAGTGCCCCCCATCATGCTTCCCTACCACGTCGTTGACTTGCTGCAGCAGGAGGACGCAAAAAAGCGCGAAGCGCGCACACTCCAAAACCAAAAGGACGGACTTGCGAATCTCCTGAACAGGACCAATGACGCACGACAATTAGAAAATCTAAAGCATTTCCAACACAAGTCTTCCAAATCGCCGCTTATGCGGGACTTCACGACCTCCAAACCCCGGTGTAAGCACGTCCAGAAGCCACCCTTCCGCCATTTGCGGATTAACCCAGCGAGTTCCAATGCAGTTACCGCGTTGCAGCAAACGTCCTCTTCTTCCAGCGACCGCTATGGTAGCTCCAGCTCCTCCTCCGCCGCCGATTCCGACACGACTACCGACGAGCCCGAGCGGAGCCTCTGTTGGGACGGGCCGCGCTTTGCCTTCGAGCATTGGGACGGCAATATGGATTGCAAAAATGTCTGGGTCTGGAAACTTGTGATGCTGGGTGGCGTATCATGAAGAGGCCACAAGTGCTGGCTCAGCATGGCAAGCTTTTGAGCTTCTAGGTATTGCCTAATCTGCACGACAAACTGCGTTTCTGCATGACAGCAAAATGGGGCTCTTGGGTAACAGGCATAACAGATTTAAGAGTTATGCCACACAAGCATGACAAGCGTGCACTCTTCCAGACCCAGAGACTTTTGCAGTTGATGGGCAAGGAATGGCAACAATTGGAAGACGAGCCGGATATCGACCCGGTGACGGATTGCTACGACTTTCGGAGTATGCATTGCAAAAGTATCGTACTCGTATTGCAAATCATGCATTACAGATCCTTTTGCTAAAGTAAATCCGCATTACAAATTTTATTTCTCATGCTGAGGAACTTTGTAATGCATTGATTGATACGAGTACGATGCAATACGTTTGCATTGTATACGGAGTTGTGCGATGGAAATGGTCAAGATGACGGACGAGGCTGCTTTCCTCCTCAGCAACGAGCCCGACACGCAGAACCGCATCCCCGTCTGGGCGGAGGACGTGCAGTGGACGTGGGCGGACGTCGTTTTTTTCTTCGATGAGGAGGGAAAATTGAGCAAAATTTTGCCGGCTTGGGAGCACGATCACGAAGAGGGAGAAGTTGTGCCTGATCGGAAGGATAAAGACTCAAAAGAGCAGCCAGAAGAGGCTCCCCCGCCGACGTGGTCATCGAGAAAATATACTAGTAATTCCGTCGTCCGCGACATGTCAGGTCTGTGGCTTTTCCGCTTCGACCTCGGGGACGCAATCTTGGTGCGGAAGAAGTTCAATTTCTGCTACGCACGGTACGCGAACTTCGGCGGCTGCGACATGCGCCACACGCAGCTGCGATATGCCTATCTGCACGGGGCGAACTTTCGGGGCGCGAATCTCAGTGAGGCATCGCTGGAGGACGCAGTGCTGTACAAGGTATTTGTTGCTCTTAGCCGGCTGTTCGATTAAATTGTCATGCGGTAAGTGCTGGAAAAGAGAAAGAAAATCTGTTTTCTCATGGTGGATCCTTGTGTTGCGTCGAAATGTGTGCTCCTTAAATGAAAAGTAGCAAACGTTTCTATCCCGTTCGACCTGACTACATTTTCACCAGACAAACTTTTCCGACGCGTACCTGTACCTTGCGTCCTTCGAAAACGCGGGCTACGTCCAGACCGCGCTCTTCCGCTACCGGGGTTCCGCGGAATTTTTCGGAATCGAGCCCTCCCTGCTTCTATCAAATGCAAAAATGTCTGGGTCTGGAAAATTTCTAGATTTGTCATGCATATTTTCCATGACCCATGATGTCTGTGATGACTGCCGTAGCATCACAGATTTTTAGAGCGCATTGTGATACCTCTGCAGCATGAGAAATGCCCTCTCCGCGTAGCACCAACTGGAGTCCTCTTGCTGGTCATGCAATACAAATTTTTTCAGAATCCAGAGACAGCCTCACAAGTTTAGAATGTTCCAGACCCAGACACTTTTGCATTTGATACCTCCACGCCAGCAACAATTACCACTACGCGGAGTGGGGCGGCTGGTGCTACTGGTTCGCGCTGACGAAAGACCGGATTTTGATGCTCCGCCACCGGATGGAAGTCGAGTACTTGCTCGGCTTCTTGCGAAAGATGCACGACATGGTCTTGACGACACACACCTGGCGCACCTATTACGACCACTGGATTTCGCTCGCGACGATGACCCAGATTAGCTCGAACAAGCGGGCCGTGCAGGCGATTTTGCTGCTCTACTACATGGATTTGGAAAGTCTCTCGGTCGTGGAGCAGACAAATCTGCAGCAGATGCTGAAAGAATCGAAAACCCGGAACATCGACACCATGGTCAACAGAAGCTCGTTTTTCCAAGAAGGACTTTCAGAGCTGGCCGGAGAGGAGATGAACCAAGCGGGTCTTGGCCAATTCCCGCACGGTGGAGGTGCTGCTCGTACTTCGGGAAGGGAAACCGCAACTTCCAGCACTGTACCACTGCCGAGGGGGCAGTACGAGACCTCGTTCAAGATGAAAAGCGACCTGAGCAACAAGAGCGGTAACAAGAGCGGGAACACCTTTTCCGGCGTCGTGCGGGCGGTATTGGTTTGTGTTGCGAATGTTTGATGACGATGTCAGTTGTGCATGATTCACCAGCTTAACTACGTGCCCGCCCAATGAGGTCATTCTCATCCAGTAGCAAGATGATATGAAGGGGAACACTCCTTCTACGTGATCGTCGAAAACGGCCTGGCAGACCGAGTCACTGCCTTTCTGAATACACTCTACAGGCCCTGCTCCGTCGCCAGGAGACCCTGGGGCAGCTGCAGCCGCCAGAGAATGTCTACAACCCGCAGCCAGCCTTGTCCTCGGTAAAACGAAAATCGCTGTTGTCCGAGTCGACCGCCGGAGGAAATACTGCAACCCCGACGGCAAGGAGCAAAGCGGCGACGTCAGCGACCACTCGCGGCGGCGCAATCGCCGGTAAGAAACCGGTGAGAAAGTGCGCCGCGCCGGGGGAAGGGTCACCGAGGATGCAGGTATGGAATTGGTCGTGCACAACCCCTCGATGTCTCTCCTTCACCTGATCGTGTGCATGAACACCAGCAGCAGAAGCAACTAACAGCAGAAGTACAGCCTTTGCATGACGAAGCAAGAAACGCACGCCTCGACTTTTGCCCTGTTCGGTTTTCCGACCGAGCTTTTTATGCAAACGGTACCACAACGAAAAGTTAACACAAAGCTTCGACTTGCTTTTTATTTGCGTTGCAAATGAACATGAAGGGAGCACGAGGATGCAGTTGTGCACCCTTATAGCAAGCGGAGAGCCTGATGAACAACATTCCCATCCTATCGCAGGAAAAAGCTATGTAAACGTGTAAGTTTGTGTTGCAGGCCATGCAAGACAGTCACTCGGCCGGGTGGTCGTGCCAGACAAGAATTATTTTACAAAGTCATTCTAACATCGTGAACCTGTCCCTATTTGCGCACTGCTACCGACAATGCACGTCAGTTTTTTATCTCTGTCAAGATGCAAGCGCAAGCCGAATCTGTCATGCCGGCGCCCCAAGCAAGTGACACTATTAGCGCAGTAGTTTTTTCCCCCATACACTCGGCACAACTACGACCCGTGGAAGTCCAGACTAGTGCCAGAACAGGAAATTCCGAACTCTGCCCGTGGCAGCTCGCTAGTTGTGAATAACCAGAACACCAACCTTGCCTCGAACCTGACTACGGCAACCCTGGCGGGGTTTGGCGGGTTCGAGAGCACGTCCCAGTTTTATGGAGCCGCTGGTCCTCCTCAAGGATTTCCGGGAAGTGTGACGCCCGCTGGCGGCAACAAGCAGGTGTCCCCTGGAAGCACCGTCTTTCAGCAGAGGTTGCAGCAGGGCGGTGGTGGTGCAATTGGAACAACGACTACAGCTACTTCTAACGAGCTGCCTTCGCTACGGTACCGGGGGCCGGTGGCCGCCGGGGCCGACGCGGTCGTGTCGCCGAAGTCCGTCGGGGGAACAATTGGTGGAACCTCTAGCCGGAGCTCCTCGTCTGCCTCGCCCATGATAACCCCGAAGCAGACGAAGGCGAAGGCAAGACCCGTGCCGAAATACATGCTCAGTCACGTTGTGGAAGAGGAGCAGCTGTCGCCCTTGTTGCAAGGAAGAGTAGATGGGCAAGTAGACCACGATTTTCGTGGCAACCAAGTAGACCCGCGAAAGAACATCATCCATCGTGAAGGTGCGCACCGGGAGGCAGCGCCGGAAGGGGAGCAGGAGGCGCAAGAGGGCGAGGCGCTGAACAGCAGCCCGAACAGCAGCAATCGTGGTGTCCGAAACCATCCCCGGGGCACGCCGCAAGCCGTACCCGCTCCAGGGGAAACCTTTGGCTCGTCTCCAGTAAAGACTCCTGTAGTACGGCACGGCAATAAAGAGTCATCAAGTGGCTCAAAAATGTCCGGAGGGGCCAGAAGCAACGGCCACGGGGGTGCTCAGCAACATCTCGAAGATGTCGAGACGAACAGTAACCTGTCGTCTGGCCACGCCAGTACGTCTTCTAGCAGCGCCGGTAAAAAGAACAAGTCCTTCAATTTTAAGAAATTTTTCTTTCCCCTCGCGGTAGAGGAGGAAGAGAAAAGCCACCGGGAGGTGCGCAAAGAAGCCATCGACTTGCGGGAGGCGCGGTGGGAGAAGCTGATCACCCAAACGAGAAGAAATCAACACCTTCGGTCGAAAATTCCGGACACGGAGTACGCGGAAATCCGGAAACTCCCCTTTCTCCGCACGCAGCACGCGCTCGCGACCGCCCGGGCGCTGTTCAACACGCGTGGGCCGGCGCCCTACGGGCTCCTGCAGATTCTGGAGCGGGACACCGCCCGGGTTTTGAGGACGTCGGACTTCTTTCTGATTGGGGAGGCGTTGAACTTGGAAATTCTCTACATCGACCGCGTGTTTAAAGCGAAAGAAGAGCTGTTCAGCATGGCGATGACCATTATCTTCTCGGCCGCGACGGCACTGCTGTTCTACCTCATGCAGCGGTACTTCCTGCCGGAGATCGAAATTCTGGCAGCGAACATGGGAAGCGACAGCAACAAAATCGACCAGGCGAACGCGGCGTGATGAAGCTGTAAAGAGTGTTGAGAACAAGGATTATGTAATCCATCAGTTCTCAAACTCAATCGCATCCGAAGTTTGTTTCTCTGTTCAAGTGTCTAACGTTTCAATGGATCACACAGTTTCGTTCTGTTTGATTAAGTACTAGGTAGAGGAACGACGGTACTAGACAGAGTGGTTTCGGTTTCGCAGTTTCCAAGAAGACATTTTGTAATTTGGGCAACCGAGCTACCGTAGTAGTCCGCACTAGTGCCCGCAGGTTTTCCGGCTGCTCTCCCGGATTACTGGAATGTCAGTTTTGCAGTAGATAGAAGGAAGAGTCATGGGTGCGCGTGTTCTGCTTCTAGAGATAGAGCTTGAATTTAACTGGAGACAATGAATCATCTCTACTCAAAAGTACACACAACATCTTTACCTGACAATGGATTAATGCCGAACCAATTTCGTCTGGATGAGAGACAAAGGAGAATTTCTGTCTTCAACCCAGGGATCAACATCCACTTCGGTGCACTGAATCAACACACAATGCTGACATTCTCATTTTAGGGAACGAGCGACTCCAAACCGGGCGCAAACTGTGCAAGTCAGTATTTATTAAAGTCGGTGTTGATTGAAATTTACTTCGGCAGAGCTGCTGGCTTTCACCAGCAACTTCCTAGTGGTGATAGAGTGTCGTCTTCCTTCGGTCTGCCGTTGCAGCTTTCATCTTCCTGTCTGGTGGCACTTGTCGTGCTTGTTTCGACATCGTCTTTGTCAGGAACCTGGTCATCTTCCTGAATTCCTTTCGTCTTTCGCCTGCGTCTGGTCTTCACTAAGCACGACGATGCAGGAGCGACTGCCGGGGGATGACGGTGGAGCGGCGTGCGTTGCCGGTTGTTCCCAAGCCGACCTTCGACAATCCCAGTGCTTATTTTCCTCGGCTAGTACTGCAAGTTCTCGCCGCCGTGTCCGCACGACGAGCCCCATGCCAACGGCAATAAGTATATCCTCGTCTGGGTCTCCCCCACGTGCGCCCGCGGTTGCGAGGAGGAGTCTGAGCATTGCGTCGCCCACGAAAGTAGGAGTTGCTGGTGCAGCTGCTGGTGGTGCAAGAACTTCTACAACTAGCCCATCTTCCGGAGGAGAAGTGAAAAAGAAAGTGATGCTCCTGCCGACGCTGTTGCAAGACATCGACGAAGGTGAGCGGCGCGGTGTTGGCCGTTCTTCCTGTACTGATAGAAGTGCGCCCGCTTTCCTCGCAGGTACTAGAAGACACGAGGACCAAGACACCACCTGCCATGATGGGGACGACCCCGCTCTCAGTCCCACGCGGATGTCAGTGCGCAAAAATCTTCGACAAAGAGCTGCCAGGGTGCTGGCCGCTGATCCCACCGATGCGAGGGTGCCGAACAAGCATCACACGATGTTGGCCTACAACCGTAGTTGTTTGGATAACCTGTCGCCGGACGATCGAAGTGAAGATTTTGAACACGACGGACAAGGGCAGCGGAGTAGTGCCCTCTTCTCGCGAGCAGGGTCTTCAACATCGGGATACATCAGTACTACTTCTAAGAACAATCAGTCAACAACTACATCGCAGTCCCAGTTTCTCACGTCGAACAGAAAGAGCACCTTCAGTTGTACAGCGAACCGTAGCAGCTGCGCTTCCACCTCCTCGAGCAGCAGTGCGAGTTGTGCAGGAGCCTCCGCCAGTACAACGTCGATCGAAGACGATGGGGTGAGGGAAATGCTGTTGAAGATTGACTCTCAGCTGGCGAACCAGGCATCCATGTTTGTCAAGTACATGGAGGCCATGCTGGATAAGTACAACACCGGAGAGGAAGAGGACCACGGAAGCGATGCATGCGGGGTGCCCAAGCACGGGACGAGAATTAAAGCGAGAAGGAGCGCGATGAGGACTCCGATAATTGTGGCACCAAAATCGCGCCGTTGCGGAGAAAGTGGTCCGGTTTCGGAAGCAGAGCTACTTGATGGGCAGCTACTACCGCCGGCGCCCAGAAGAGCCCCCGGCGCCGTTTTGGATCGCGATATGATCGAGACTTTTCGCAATGAAAAGGACGATAGTTTGCTGTATTAATTTGGGTCGTCTTTACGACTCACATGAATTCTTTTGGTCGACATGATCGAAAAACACAATCGAACGAAAAAATCTTTATTCCACGTCCACGAAAAAAAAAAATGAAAATCAGCATGAAAAGAATAAAAAAACGAAATCCTCCGCAGATGCCTGGTTCCCGCCCCTGAGCTGAAGAAGGAGCGTGTCACCCTCCCAGCGACCGTCTCGACCTCCTTCACGGGTAAAAACATCATGCTTGCGTCACCGCAACAGGCGTACAACAGCGATCCTGAGCAATCGCCGACCCTCTGTGGGTCGAGCGTCAACAGCACGGAGCGGCCGCTGCACAGCGCGTCCGTGGCGAGTTTGGCGAAGTTTCTCCGTCCGTCGAGCGAGCTGTGGCAGGAAGACGCCAGCTTTGCGTTGAAAGTGCACGACGCACAGGAGTATCAAATGCGAAAGTGTCTGGGTCTGGAAGATTCTGAAATTTTTCATGCATGTTTTGCATGACCCAGGTTGTCTGTAATGCACGGCCTAACATCACAGATTTTTAGACGGCTTCCTGATGCCTACTTCGCATGACAAACGCCCTCCCCGCGTAGCACAAACTAGACTCCTCTTGCTGGTCATGCAATACAGATTTTTTTAGAGTCCGAAAATAGCATCACAGGTTCCAACCTTGCAGACCCAGACACTTTTGCATTTGATAAGGAGCACAGCAGCATCGCTCTGCTGGAAACGGAGCTTAGCCGGATTTCCGCCGAGTCATCAGCGTCTAGTGCGGGAGGGAAGACGAAGTCGCACAGGGGCAGCAGGAATGGACATTCGCACGTCGAAGGGCTGAGGGAGCCTGCCGAGAGAAATTCTCTTGTTGTTCCCGGAGCTAGTACACCTATCGACGTGCAGCAACATGAATACTCGACGCCCCCTCGCAAACAAGTAGAATCGCTCGTACAACAGCAGAGCAGCTGCAGAAGCAAAAATACCGCAGAAGGAGCTGTCCACGTGCCACAAGTTCTACCTTGTTCCGAGATGGACACAATCACCAACGTGAATCTCACCGCGACAGAGGAGTTTTTGCATGATTTGGAGCACTATGGATTGTAAAAATGTCTAGGTCTGGAAGAATGGAAGGTCTGTCATGCTCTGCCAGCATGACCCCAAAGTCTGTCATGCACGTTACGCAAGAGCCCCGTTTTTCATTCATGCAGAAACGCAGTTTGTCATGCAGAATAGGCAACACCTCGAAGCTCAGAAACTTGTCATGCTGAGCCAGCACTTGTGGCCGCCTCATGATACGCCAACCAGCATCACAAGTTTCCAGACCCAGACACTTTTACAGTTGATAAGCACTCGCTGGCTTTGGAAAACGTGGATTTCATCGAGGACGAAGTTGCTGCCAACGACCTCCGTGGTCCCGATAGCAGCACGCCGAAAAAGAACCAACAGGTCGCACTGGTAGACCACGAACAAATCGAAGGACAGGTGAAAGAACCGCGACTGACGTCAGCACCGACGAACGATGAGACTTCTGGGGGCACTGCTGCCGCAGGCGTTCTTGCTGCGGCGCACGACAATCACATAGAAGAGGAGCAGGACGATATCCTTGATGTCGATGAGACCAACCTGCCCGGCCACGACGAGATTCGGTTCCCACTACTCCGCTGCGGCTCCAATAACTTCCGCTACGCAGAGGCAGACATTGCCGGCGCTGCTGCCGAATACGATGCGCTGATGGGCGATCAGAACTTTGACGAGGTACTGGACGATGGTACAACGGGAAATAATGACGAGAGTTGCTTGCAGCTGTTGGACCAGTCTACAACTTCACGCCGCACCGAACCACGCGTGAGCACGACAAGAGCGGCACTAGTAGAGGTGGCTGTGCCGGGAATGATTGGTAGCGATCCCGCAAGTTGTGTCGACGAACCGAGGATATCAGGGAGACCCAGCTCTGTCGTTCGTTTTTCGACCGATCATTGTCCTGCCGAAGCGACAGCGTCTCAACATGTGCAATCGTCAGCGGCCGCAACAGCAGCATGTTCTTCTCAACTGCGCCACGACAAGCACGAGCCATCTGCGGACGAGAACCTGCGGCACTCCAAACTGATACCGCGTGGAGCACTTGTCTTGCAGCAGAGCATCGAAGCAAACAAAACAGCCGGACTTGGAGATGTTGCACTTGCTCCTCCAGCGGTACAGCGCCAGCAACGCTCCCTGCATCTGCCACGGCACTGCTCGACCGAATCGTTCTTGATTGCGCGGAAAGATTTAGAGCCACTGGATATCGTCGACGAGAAAAGACTATTGCAACGACACAGGTCTTCAAATACTACATCGCAGGCGTCTAGAAGTTCTTGCACTACGTCGATTCGGAGCGCCGCCCAGCAGGAACTGTTTGCAGGACCACAAGGGCACGCGCAAGAACAAGGTTGCGCCAGCACCTCCCTGCGCCGGTCGCAAGGCTGTGGCCCCTTTTCTTCAGAGGCCGGCACGACTAAAGACCACCACGAACAACTACGTGGAGCGGGTCCTCCAAAGCACCCGCAACCCCTTCGGCTTTCTTCTACGACCTTCAACGACCGCATGGAATCCGCGGAGGAGCTGCATTTGGAGCCGATAACCACTTTTTGCTCTGTTTCCGGGCGAAAGAAAAGCAAGCAGAATGTAGTTCTGACAAGAAGTGTCTCCTCCTCCTGGCACCACTACAAGGGGTGCGAGGTGGGCCTCTCGGGGAAAACGTCTGCTTCGTCGAGTTCATCTTCGAGCAGCTGCAGCGCAGGCAGTAGCACGGGCTGTGCTAGGACGAGTACAGCTGGCGGACAAGCGACTGGTTCGGGGAGTCGCGATGAGGATAACAAGGAAGGACGCCAGCCCCTGCTACCATCGGAGGGTGTTCCTCGAAAAAGCAAGAGAGACGATGAACAAAGCTACCACCACCGTTCGGCCGGAAGTAGTACTAGTACCACCTCCTGCGCATTCACTGCTGGGAATGTCGAAGCAGCTGCCCGTAGCTTCCCTCCGTCTGCTTCCTCCTGCGAGGAACATGTAGATGACGAGGAACAACTACACGAGCAGCGCTGTTTCACGCCGCCGCAAAATTCCTACGCGGCAAGCCGTTCGTCTGGCGAGGAGGACGGAACGAGCTCGAACGAAAGCAGCAGCGCTATGGGACTCTCAATTGTTACATTCTCAACTGTTACATGAATTTGTAATGCAAGACTGGCAAAAGTGAAAGGAGGAAGATTGCGCCTTTTGCATTACAAGTTTGGCGCAGATTTAGGCGCGGCTTAGCCCTTCGCAAACTTGTCACGCGGAGCAGCTTCTTGATCGTGAGGATGATGATGGTGTTTTTGCATGACAAATTCATGTAACAGTTGAGAATGTAACGTTTGAGAACCCCATAAGTGCCTCCACTACCACGGGTTTTGTGCAGCTCATCGATGCAGACACGAATTCTTCCTGTGCGAGTAGTGAGCGCTCGGTCACCTCCGAATCCGTGCGGGACCTGGAGAGCCCATTTGCACAGTCGTCCTCGTCTGGAGGTGGCTCCTCTAGCTCGTCCAGTAGCAGCGACGGCAGGGCGAAATCGTCGAGAAGCAAGTGCGCTGCGACGCTGCCGTGTTTGCCGCAGGACAGGGGGGCTCTGGCGGAAAACAGCACGACTAGTACCCAGGTGGACACTAAAATCCACCGCGCTTCTCGTAGTTCTAAGACGAAGAAAAGGAGCGGCCGGAAAAGCAAAAGCCAGAGCGGTGCGGCTTCTGTCGCAGTGGCTTCGAAACTGGATAATTTCGGGGCAAGCAAGACGCATGACGAAGACCGACCTGCCGTGAACGCTATGGAGGTACCCGGGAATGCCACTGTATCATCCGTCGATGTAGTTGCCACGGCCAGTACAACGGAAGACTTAAAGGCACGACCTTTTTCGGCCGCGACGAATGGATCGTCGTCCTCAGGAACCAACAAGATGGTGCGTCGAAGGTCAACAAATACCAGTGAAGATTCTTCGGGTACCGGTTACAGTGCCGCCTCGAGCAGACCGAGCGTCGGCCAGTCCTCCGATGGCCATGCTGCTACCTCGTCCAGCACCGGCAGTTCCGCTCGAGTCGTTGAGCGGAGCAGTAGCAACAGAAACAGCCGGGAGTCCACGTCAAATATTAACGAAGACCAACACCAGATAGACACGTTGCTGGAGGAAGAAGGAGCGGGCACGACAGACGGGCAGAGGGCATCTGGTGCAGAACCGTCGCGACAAAAGATCTTCATAACCCGGACCGGAAAGATGCTGCGCAGGAATCCTTCCCGGACCCCTCGCTACGCGGAGGACCAAGTGTTGTCGGGAGGAGGGGTTGAGCTTGATTTTCACTTTAGCACCCACAGTCAGCCCCGTAGCAGCGCGGATGTCGACATTCATGATGCGGACAAAGAGGTAGTCCTACCGTCCACTTCTGTTCCATTTCCGTGCGTCGATGACGTTGAGAAAGCTGAAACTGCCAGTGATGTGATGATCGACGAGGACTATGTAGTTAACGGACACGGGGGTGGAGAGGAGCCGCAAACAGAAACGGATCCAGCAAAAGAGCAGGTTTTGTTGCCACACGAAAGGAGCTTTATTGCCGAGATGGAGATCACACCTTCGCCCTGCGACGTTGTGTGCGTGACAGAGCAGGAGTCCAAGAGCGACAATCATCATCCCGAGCTCGACGCGCCTCTTTGCAATGTTTCCGAGCCTGGTGGCGCAACGACAGACGAGGACGCTGCTGCTCCAGAAGACCTCCCGGGCGAAATTCTAGATTGGACCCGCTGTTCGACCGCTAGTTTCCTCCCCTTCCGGTCCGACTACGGGGGCTTGAAGAATCTCGGGCTCCGCGCGCCGGGACTCGGTCGCTACCAAAGAATGGAAACTTTGGAGGAAGGGTCGCACGAATCCGAAAACTCGAACAGCGATACCGACCGGGGGCAGCTGCCCACGCCCAAGGTGGTCGGAAGTGGGATGACAGGCGGGAAAAACTGGGATACAATCAAAATCACCCCGCCGTCGCCAGACCGTGTGACCTTTGAAGATGAAGGGGTGGACGTTGATACAGCTGCTGCTGATGTAGTCGATCTGACCACGGATCTTGCTGCACGGCCCGCGAAAGTTGAAACTGCTGATGGCTGCGAAGATGTTTGTCTTGCGGGCGATGGCAAGGATGAAGACAATGACAATGAACCTCATCAAACTACTGCGCCAGGTCGAGGTCCTGATGCGCAGCATGCCATTGGACCCCCCGCAGTTCCTTCGGCCTGTGAAGCGGAACAAAGCGAGGTCCTCTCATCTCTCAAACAGGATCACCAGCACATCCACGTTCCACCAAACCCCGCGGTTCTTGCGCACGACGACATTGCCGCCGAGCAGCATGACCTGCCGCGGCAGTGTTCGCCCGTTTCGCCGGCGGACGAAAATGATCACTACTGCACGCTCTCTCCGGACCTTCGCGGCCCCACGGGCGAGATGATGACCCTCGTGCCGCAGCACGGGCTTTCTCCGTCTCCCGAGGAACTGCGGAGCCCGGACGAGGGCCAGCTGCTGAGTCCCGAGCAAGAAGCGGCAGAGCCGAAGGCGAATCGCGCAGGAGAGAAGAACATGAACAACCACGCTGCGTTTGCTTCTGCCGAATCCTGTCCGAACGGGGCCGAAAAGGAAATAAAGATCGTTCTCGCCGAGGTCGTCGCTCCGGATACGCCGCAGCCGAAAGATGCAGTGCCAAAAAATTTGGGCCGGCCGGAGGTAGAGAATCGTGTGGAAGGTGTTGTTACTGCAGAACTACGAGAACCACAACCATCGCCAACCGCAGGGGATGAGGACACCACGAGAAACCAGCAAACTCCGTCGCAGGTGGAACATCAGTCCTCCACGCCGCATGCCGCGAGCCCCTCGCGCAGCGCCTACTTGCACGGGACCAAGGTGAAAACCAGCACGTCGGCGGGTAATTGCATGTACTCTTCTTGCCACTACGAAGAGGGCTCGCACCTCTACATTCGCAACGAAGTCTACGGCGAGCAGCAGATTGTGCATCCAAGAAACAGCGGAGGAATTCGGCGACAGTCGCAGGCAGCAGCATCGTCCTCCGAAGATGCCTCCAGCGCCGCTGCGCTACAGGACCTGGACGCGGCGGGGTTTGATAATGGAAGAAATAGCAGTGGTTCTACTGCGATTGAAAGTAACAAGCTGAACACGCACCGGTCATTTGTCTCCTCAAACCAATCCGGCACGAACGGCTCGATGGTCAAGTATCAGGACGAGGTCGGCGGGGGTCAAAATTTTGTCGATGACGACGACTTTTCGAGCGACGACGGGTATCCTGAGTAAAAACGTCCCCACACCAGAGTTGTCATGCAGATTTGCAATGACAGGAACATTTGTAATGCGCATCGCCAGGAGAGGCATTTTTAGTCGTGTTTTGGAATTTGTAATGCTGTAAACAGGATAAGCAGATGGATTTCTGATGCAGCTGGCCTTGCGAACCTGCACTACACTACGGACTGCGACTTGTGATGCGTGACCCCCAAAAGTTCTAGGTTTGTGTTGCAAAATCCCCATCTTGACTCTGGTGTGGGGATGTTTTTACTCAGGATAACGGGGATCCGGTCGTCTTGAGTCGCAACCACATCGAAAGAATCGACATTCTCGGGGACCGCTTATTGTACTGCTTGACCGACAAAATTTTCGACGTGGATTTGAAAAGGGCGAGTGGGTCGCTGTCGGATTTTTCGTTTCTGCACAGCGCCCGGAAGCACTACAAAGCGACTCTGATGATGAAAAAGAAACTGGACGAAGAAGAGATCTCGCTCGGGGAACACGTCGAAGATGCAGATGAACCGTCCACAAGTCGAAGTACAACGAGAAAAGCAGACACAAAGAAGAAGGAGAAAGAAGTGGAGAACAAACCTGTATCCCCCGACGATGACGTAGTATCTTCAGGTGGAGCCGATGATGCAAGAACAGGTGCCGCAGGAGCTGCTCCACCATGTTCGAGGAAAGTTCTTTCTGAGGAAGCCGGCAAGATGAACTGTGGTGCAGCTGCACATCATGACCATGGAAGTAGAACAAATGAAGAGCGCACGCCGGCAGCAGACAGTGCCAGTGGCGAGAAAAGTAGCCTCACGCTAGCGCGATCAGTGGAAAGACACCAGGTGCGTGCTGATGCGTCAGCAGATACCAAATCCCCAGCGTCTACTACTGTGACCTCACCAGCAGCTGTTCTTCCATCTCGTCCACGCGAAGAGGAGGACGACAAAGCCCAGGAACGCGACTTGGTCGAGATGAAATCCGCTTCGAACAAGGGTGTTTGCTCTGAAGAAACCGATCTTCTCGTCGACCCGCAGTCGCATCACCGTGTGACGCCCAGCACGGTGGCCAACTCCTCGCCGGTGAACAATGCTCTGCTGTATACCACGCCGCAGTCTTCCTGCAGCAGCTCCTCTAGCGCGGACGAGGGGGAGGAGGAACCGCATCACCAGCAGATCCGTCGACAATCCGTCGAGTTGACTAGCAGTAGCCTAGACCGGTCGGACGAGGATCTGGTGCTCTTGCACGACGACGAAGCAGACATGACTCCGTGCACGCCGCCTGCTACGGGAGGAGCTGTCGCTCAAGGAAATAAAACCAACGAGGACCGGGCTTTGTCTCCCGTGGCCGCGGCCGGGGAGGCTGGCGAAATAGAAGTGGTGACGGAGAACAAGAAAAGCAACGGAACTTCCTCAGCTGTTGCCGCTGCTTACACATGTATAGAACCTTGATGTATGGGGGTCCAAAATTGAATCAACCGGAGACACATGTTTAGTAAGTACTTACCCGACGACCTTCCACAGTCGCATCCATGTCGCTTTTCTGTTGTTGCGCAGGAATGCAGCATCATCTTCAAGAAATGAAATTGTATACAGAGCTCTGTAGACCGCCTTTTCTCTGCATTTACAGCGGACGCCAATTTTTATTCCCAAACCAGGCACCAGCCCGCCCGTCGACGGTGCGCTCGTCGAAGATTCGTCTCTCTGCAACTGCTTGCAAGGCAGCACGAATGACACAAAACTAACGGAGGCGCACGAGGGGGCCATTAATGTCGAGGAGATTAGTCATGCGCCCACCAGTTGCTCCGCCGACGAGATGGTACTTCTCGAGACGGATCGTAGTAACACATCCCGAGCTTTATCGGAGCAGGAGTTTGTCTTGACAGTCCAGGAAGTTGTTGATACAGATGTTGATCATGTTGAGGAGTTACTGCTAGTAGAAGGAGCGCCCACAACGCGACGATCCAGAGTTCTGGACGGCGAGAACGTCGCACTAGCCGCTGTTGACGGTGATGAAGTGGAGTCCGCACCAGTCGAGACGACGCGCGTGGTGGAGCTGGCGGAAGTGACGCAGGAACTGGAAGTGCTCGAGCTTGATGATGGTATCACCGCGACCCTCGACCCAGATCTGATCGTCTGCAACGAGGAATCTCTGCCACTCTCCGTGGACGCAGGACTAGAGCAAACAGGAGAACTACCCGCGTTCTGCGCTCATCTTCAACACGTGGATATTGTAAATGACAGCCGCGCTACAGCACCGGTAGAAGACAGTCTCGAAGGCATGGTGCAGCAGGTGGCGGTGGGCAACGGCGCTCCAACGCCAACCTTGGACGAACAAGCATCCTGTGAAGATTCGGCGAGCCCGGCGCCGCGTGTTCTTGAGATGGTCCGCTTGCCAACTCCTGCGAAGAGCGCGGCACCGATGAAGCAAATAACTGACGCTACTTCTTCTACAAGCACGATGAGTGACGATGTTCCGGTGGCGTCGGCGGTTCGACCTGTTGTAGGCGCACAAGTAGAGCCGGCGGAGTTGGAAAGGAAGGAAGACCAGGAAAACAATAAAGTCGCTCCGCTGGTGGAGCCCCCGACTATTACTGTCCAATTCTGTGCTGGTGACGAGGAGCCGCCCGCCCCGAATTTAGTACCTCTCCTGACAAAGCGGCTGGAAGCGTCCGAAGCAGAGGCGAAGCGGGAGCAGGAGATCAACGTCGCACAAAGGATATCCTGTGCAAAAGTATCGTACTCGTAGTGCAATCATGCATTTACAAATCTTTCTCTTAAGGTAAATGAGCATTACAAATTTTATTTGTCACGCTGAGGAAATTTGTAATGCATTTATACGAGTACGATACTTTTGCAGCTCATAAAGGAAGCAAAAGACTGCTCGTACGTCGTCGCACGCGCACCGGCACAGGCGTCCGGCAGGCCATACTACCTGTTCCTCCAGTGACACGACGATTTTGACGCTTGTTGCGTCACCCAGTGTCATTTCTGTATCAAATGAGGCGAGGAAAATAGACAAGCCTGACACGGCTGGAGACTCTGCGAGACAAGAATCTCAATCTGGAGTTGTTCCTTCGAGCATTATTCCGGAGCAGGATTGCATCTCCATGTGCGACAGCAGTTTTCTGGGTTCTTTACAGACACTGAATGCAGGAGTTTCGACCACGAGCGTCGAGGATCCTTGCATGTTGACGCCGTCGCGATCCTCTCCTCTGCCGGCGTTTGCCTTCGGAACTGATGTATACGAACTTGGGAGTGCTCTTTCCGTTTTATGTTGATTATTTCCCCTGCAACTGCATGACCGATGATAGATTCCCCAGCGAAAGAACGCAAGGCATTTGATACGGTGTACATTTTTCGAAACACAAAAACGAAGACAGGCCAACGGCAGCAACGCAGACCTCAAGGGCAGCGCAGAGCCTGATTTCACGCTTGACGTGTCACCGCCGCTATACAAGACGCGCAACACCAAGAATAAGACCTCCCGCGGACCGACGAAGACCGTGCAAAACAGCTACAGCAACTACGTACCAAAGTCGAAAAAGGGTGTGCTGTCTGCGAGCAGTCGTTTGCAGCCGGCGGCGGTCGGGACGGGAAATGTAGCTGCCGGCGGAGCTGTGCCAGGCAGTGTGGATGCGGTACAGGACGATACTCTTCTCAGACTCAGACACTGCAGTCACAGTACTTATCAGAAAGATTTAGCTGTATATTGCTGTGATGCACATCCACATTCACCTTTCTTGCATGCAATTGCAAGAATTACAAACACCTTTTTTTCAATGCAGGTTGTGTCTTCGTCGATCGCGCCGCGCAACCTACAGATGCGGTACTCGCTATGCAAAACGAGCACGACAGATTTGCGGCAAAGTGTCTCTCCAATGCGTTCGCCGATGAAGCTGCCGTCTTACCTCACAGTACAGTGTTTCTTTGTAGAGTTACTCGCTGAAGTTGTTAAGGCAACGCAGCGAACGATATATGTCATGCATACTGTGTCACAGATGATCAGATTCAGATCGAGATCCGACTCAATAGGTCAACTCCCTTCCGCAAAAACTACATACAGATCGCCGATTCTCTGCGTCGCTCGGCCGCGCAATCCGGTGCTAGTTCTCTTCACACCGGCAAGCGCAGCCTGAGCACAGACCCTCCAGTGGCGAAAAGCTTTTCCCCTTTGGACAGTGTGGATTACTCCCCCGTTTTGTCGTCGCGAACTCATCTCAACGACAAAAAATTCCAGCCCCGTAACAGCCGCATTCCGGAACTCGTTTTACCCCCGCAGAACGTCGCGGGCACGCCTCCCCGGGTGGTGGCGGAAGACCGAGACCTGCACGACATACGGGACGGCGCTCATGGCTTCGTACCGGTTCGAGGGGAAAATTCGCTGCAGACCAAGCACAATTACGTCGTGCCAGGAGGTGCCGCGCACGGGTTCGAAGACGATTTCTTCTTCGAGGACAACAACTACGACTCGGGGCGTTACCGTTACGAAGACGTTGCCGAGCAGACGCCGGGACCAGGAGGGAAGGTGGCAAATAAATTTGATCTCCCTTCTCACGGGCGGTCCTCGTCCGAACAAAGAATTACAACAACTCCACACGAAAATAAACCCTTCTGCGCCGACACCGCAATAAAAACTGCTGCGGACGAACAGTCGCTCAGCCCCGAAGACGAGGACCCGCTCCGGGCGTCCACAGCACTGACGATTAGCCCGTCTGGTCGGCCGGTCTGCCTCGGGAGCGACGGCGTGCGAGTGGATGGAGACAGAGAGGGTGCGGCTGATAGTTGTAACTCCGCGTAACCCACCAGAGACGCTCCTGGCAGTGCTTGGCTTTACGTGCGTCCAGGAACAAGGGGCACTGGACCGTTGTACAATCGACATAACGATAAAAAATATGACTGTTTCTCATTTGATGTTGCATTTCGGCATCAAGGAAGGACGTTTGGTTTCGCTTGTTCTCGTTCTTTTTGATTATCTTCCTTATGAACGCAAAAAGCACTAAAGAACTAAAGTACTCACTGCGTAAGACCGATTTTTTATAACAGTTCCTTAGGAACTCATTCTTGCATAATTTGATGGATACACGAAAATAAAGCTCTAGTACTAGTTTGATTGCAGCGCCGCGGCTCCAGACCTGTATCGGGTTTCTGATCCGGCGCTGCATGGGAAGTTTTTTTCTACGTTTCTTCTCTTACTTTATGTTTCTGTTTCGCGTTATTGATTTATGATATAGGAAAAACTACAAGAACGTCGTATAGAGAGCCGATAAGACGAGCTGGAGCTCTTACAGGGAATAAAAAACAGGTAGTGGTTTCTTTATGCTTTATTGCACAGCGAAATGCAGAGTTACCGTTATGCTTGTTATTTGCAGCAGCAAGTAAGTCTAAGTAGTGAACTTATCTTCGGGCAAGAACGGCTTTTGTGGAAAAAAAAACGGTGTAGCTGCTACTACACATGTTTTGCGACGAAGCTGATGCGGTGGCGTATCTGCATACAAGGCCGCAACTTATGTCGCGCAGTGGGGGGGTGAACGAGTGGACGGGGGGGAAAGAAAAACGCCAGAGGGGCAAGGGAAAAAATTTTTGATGCAGGGCGGGGCCAGGCATCTGCGCCGCGTCTTGCTGAAAGAACGAAGGCGGAGCGCCATGGCGCTCGTGGTTCCCGTCGTCGTGCGAGCGCGAGGGCCCCGCCCGCACTGGGCGCGCGTTTGCGTGGCGGCAAGCCTTAGGCCCAAGCAACAACGCAAAGCGCGGCAGCGGGCGGCCGCCAGTGGACGGGGGAACAGGCCGCGCCATGCGAGGCGCTGGCGGCAGCGTGACGCCCCGCCCGCGCGTTTGCGGTGTGGCCCGTTCGCGCCGCCTGCCTGTGTGCCCCGCCCCTGTGCGCCTTGGTGCCCCCCCCGCCCTTCTTCCGCGCGCAGCCTTGCAGAACGAGGGCGCGTTGGGGCCCCTGCCGCGCGCGTGGATGGAGGACGGGCGCCGGGGCGGGGCGCTCATTGCCCTCCAGGCGCAGGGGCCCACCACCCTCCCCCAGCACCCCCGGACAACAACGGCGCCCCCCGTGTTAGCCCGCAGGCAATCTGTTGCGCCCCCGCCTGCTTCCCTCGCGCGCACCCTCCAAGACAGAGACGGCGGATGGTGGCGCCCTCTGCCGGCCTCTTCGTGAACAGAGGGAGG